ATGGCAGATTTTGCCTAAACTTCCAGGGATGAACAACCTTAATGTGTAGATGGTAGTAAAGGAAGGAATTTTTGCTGTGACCAAATGTAACAGAATTATGGCCCTTTGTTGATTTTTTCACTAGATACTATGTAGAAATTTTGTGAACGCAACTCCTCTTAAACCGGATGGCAGATTTTGCTTAAACTTCCAGGGATGAACATTGACCTTAATGTGTAGATGGTAGTAAAGGAATGAAATTTTGCTGTGACCAAATTTCACAGAATTATGGCCCTTTGTTGATTTTTAGTTTTCAACTTGTGGCACATGTAGTCCAAAAAGTATTTGACCTAGAGTCATAAGATTGACAGAACAGTGGCGTGTGGGGGCATCCGTGTCCTATGGACACATTTCTAGTTTTCTTTGCTTTGCATCATTTGAAAGTAAGGCTTGACCGCATTGCCTTCATAATTCCCCCATCGTGTTTCTGAGTTGTAAACTGAAAAGGCTGAAATAAAAAAGCTTAACTGTGAGTCTCCTATCGAAACTAATGTTTCATCAAGCATATTGAAATTATCATAGATCTAACCGTCAGAGGAGACAGCATGCTCGACTAATAAAGTAGTGGACTTGGTCAAGAAAAGCTGAAAACTTAAAAAGAAATTATAATATGAAATAATTAATGCAAATTAATTAAACTATCCTTGTGATAAAATCCATATTGCTCACACTGTAGGCAATGTAGTTTTGCTGAACTCACAGTGTGATATATAGAATGCCATTTTGCCTCTAAATAAACAAATGAGCCGCGTCACGACAAAACCAACATGATGGGTTTGCGACCAGCATGGATCCAGACCAGCCTGGACATCTGATCAGGATCCATGTTGTTCGCTAACCAACTCTATTAAAGTAGAGAAACTGATAGCTAACAGCATGGATCCTGATACGACTGCGCGGATGCACAGGCTGGTCTTGATATCCATGCTGGTCGCAAACTCATTATGTTGGTTTTGTCATGACGCGGCTCAAATATCCTCTATGCAAGTCTCAATACGAGAAAAGCATTAATAATACGTTCAACTTTTTTGCACAACAAAACATGTATGAGACTATGTAATGTTTCCTTTTCAATAACAAAGATCAATAAGGGTATAAGGAAACTCTTTTCTAAATTAAATGTAAAGATTGAAATAAGACATCATAAGGCTGCAACTAAGTATGGAGATGTATACACTTGTTCCTCTGAGGAAGCACTTTAAGATTGACCTTGTGTTTGTTTTCATACTAGCTAAAGAATAATTTTATTGTACTTACCAATAATTGTTCAACAATTTGTTGGTTGAGCGGATGGTACAGGAATGTCTCAGATTCAGTAAGACTGCTCTGCTGGAGCTGTTCTGTTGTGAAAAAGACAGTCAGCAAATATCTTGCTATTCTTTTCCCGTCTTTCCCGCCCTGTGGACTGGATGTTGACTTATTCAGTGATGTGTAGTGTTGGTCTTTGTGTAGAAACACATTAGTTGCAGGAAATAATTCTTCCATCTGTGAAATTATAGATAACATTATTTTAATCACAGTTTATTTTTAAACAATCAAAGAGGGTATCTTATCACCCCAAGGACATTTTAAAATTAAATCTAAAAGAAGAAATGTTTTTGAAAATCTTAGAACATTTTGTATAGAATGAAGTTAAGTTGTTAGGCACTGCAAATGCTAGTGTTGGATAAAAAGTACATTTTGACTGAATTCACTATTGCTTATTCCACTTGAATAGGAAGCTAGGATACTCTAGATTCTAGCAATTGATAATTAAAGATTTCTATGTAATGTTCTGTTTCATATAAAAAGTTAAAAACCACAATCATTCACTATATTACTCACTAATTACAACTTGAATGTACCAGGCCTCGACGAATAAACTCGCCCGCGTGCATTCGCGTAAAAGTTACGGTCGGGCAATTGAAAAATTGATCAAACTCGCCCAGAAGGGCGAGAAGATTTTCCAGATACTGTTTAATGAAGGGCAAGTAAATTTGGAGGGTCACTCGGCCTACAGGTGGATCGCCCTTCAAAATTTATCGAGGCCTGCATAGTTCACTATGTTTCACGTTTTTTACCAGACTAGAAACAATAACATTTGCTATTAAAGAAGCATACCATGATCAAGGGGTTTGACATTATACTGTCTAGCCAAAAAGAACATCAATTTTGAAAGCTGGTCCTTCCAAGACTTAAAATTTAAGAATTTGTTTTTTTCCCTTCATAGATCAAAGTTAATATATACTGTGAATAATCACTGAAAATCTATCAAACTTTCTTCTACCTGTATTTTTTCTAATAGAAATTTGACTGGAAATTGCTTTGTGAATATAGAGCAACAAAACAATGCAAAATTCAAATTTCAAAGGGGCTTGCACAATTCAATTTCATAATGATTTATATAGTTTTTTGGGAGAGTTTCTTTTCAATGAAATACTCCTGAAAAACCTACCTTTCTGAGACTCTGCCAGAATGCTGGAGGTCACATCTTTTATCAAGGTTTCCATTTCCTTCTCCAATTCTTTCTTGTTAACTATAATGTAAAATTATAAAATAATAATTACATAATAATTATGAAATCAGCAGTTAAGCATCAAATACAGTATGACAGTACATTTTTAGCTCACCTGTCACAAAGTGACAGGGTGAGCTTTTGTGATCGCTTTTCGTCCGGCGTCCGTCCGTCCGTCGTCCGTCCGTCCGTAAACTTTTACTTTAAATGACATCTCCTCATAAACCACTAAGCCAATTTCATCCAAACTTCACAGGAATGTTCCTTTGGTGGTCACGTTAAAAATTGTTCAAAGAATTTAATTCCATGCAAAACTCTGGTTGCCATGGCAACCGAAAGAAAAAACTTTAAATATCTTCTTTTAAAAAACCATAAGAGCTAGAGCTTAGATATTTGGCATGAAACATCTTCTAGTGAGTGTCTACTAAGTTTGTTCAAATAAAAGCCCTGGGGTCAAAATTGGCCCCGCCCCGGGGGGTCATTGATTTTCCCTATATGCATATAGTAAAAACTTAAAAAATCTTCTTTTAAAGAACCCAAAGAGCTAGAGCTAAGATATTTAGCATGAAACATGTTCTAATGGGTGTCTACCAATTTTGTTCAAATAAAAGCCCTAGGGTGAAAATTGGCCCCGCCCCGGGGGTCATTGATTTTCCCTATATGCATATAGTAAAAACTTAAAAAATCTTCTTTTAAAGAACTCAAAGAGCTAGAGCTTAGATATTTGGCATGAAACATCTTCTAGTGAGTGTCTACCAAGTTTGTTCAAATAAAAGCCCTAAGGTCAAAATTGGCCCCGCCCCGGGGGGTCATTGATTTTCCCTATATGCATATAGTAAAAACTTAAAAAATCTTCTTTTAAAGAACTCAAAGAGCTAGAGCTAAGATATTGAGCATCAAACATGTTCTAATAGGTGTCTACAAAGTTTGTTCAAATAATAGCCCTGGGGTCAAAACTGGCCCGGCCCCAGGGGTGTCATTGTTTTTAACTATATGTGTATAGTAAAAACTTAAAAAAAATCTTCTTTTAAAAAGCCCAATGAGCTAGAGCTTAAATGTTTAGCATGAAACATCTTCTTATGGGTGTCTACCAAGTTTGTGCAAATAAAAGCCCTTGGGTTAAATTGGCTCTGCAACGTTGGGGGGTTGGGGGTTGGGGGGGGCCTATATACAGGTGAGCGACCTCAGGGCCATCATGGCCCTCTTGTTTTAAATTATGGCTGCTCAAAACTCTGATTTGCATAATTTCAGTGATTTTTTCCCTATATATCTTCGGGAGTCCATATTCCGATGACATAAGCAATCAGATCCGTATAAATGCAAAAAACAAACAATAAAGAAAAAAACCCACTTTCTTTGATAAAATAAGCGCTCCGCTAAATCTTGCAATAATTTTCATCTGTTATGCATATCAAATAAAGTCAACAAAGTTCAAAAACTATCACACTATCTGTCAACAAAACAGCCGCCATTACTGTCCTTGACATCGATGACGTCACAGAGCAGGTACACTTACTTTTTAGGCACACAAATCTAATTAATAGGTTAACTGGTCTTTATACAAAAATCAATAAAATGTTCCAACTACACTTTAACTTGAATAAAACAATAAATTTAACTGTTCTAACTGGTTTTATTGTTTTTCTTATCTTAATTTACTCTTCTGTTACACAGTGGGGACACAGGAAAGTGTCTCCTCCTCTAAGAACACGAACTGGGGTACAGTATATTAAATGGACCCAGTGTTTGCAGTGGCAACCATTTTTTACCCCATCACATTTTGCCCATTTTACAATGATGATTGATGTGCTCCTAGATATTTCTTCCGGTGTGAACCTCTTGCATACACAGCAAAGATCATCACTGTCAATGTCTGACTGCACACTTTCAGTATCTGATTCTAAAGCCAGATTTATATGAGATGGACCAGGCTGTGGAGACCTTTATTTTAACTTGGTTTTACCTTTTACTTGGAATTGATTTTAGGTGTCTGCTTGGACTTTGTTGACTTTTTTTACCTTTTTCTGACTAATTTCATGTTCTTTCATTTTTACAACAACGTCTTCATTCAGTACACGACCAGCAACAATTTTACTCATAGTGTTCCTAGTGTAGTGTTGTTAGTATTTAGAGATTAGCTCCGCCTACTTGATTAAATATGCACACTCTGAGAACTCTCTCTCTGAGCCCTCTTTGATAGACAGTTTAGATTACACATGCAATGTAGCAACATCTCTGTGAATACTCTTGTGAATAAATCTTAGAATAGAATGTTTATATTGAGTTTTCAATACAGTACAATGGCGACGAGGATTTAAAAAGAAAAATTGGATAACATGATATTTGTTTGATTAAATTATATAAGTGAACACCGGAAATTTACACATTTTGGAATTTAAAGTTTAAAACACTTTTCCTGGACTTTGTTACAACTTAGCTCTATCAATAATACTGATACAGTGACAGTATGGCACAAGGATTGCCAGTTTTTCCAGCATTTGGTGTAAGTGAACCTGGTGTTGACACAAGATGGAGGAAATGGACAGGTCGATTCGAAAACTTAATGATTGGCATGGACATTAAAGATAAAAAACGTCAGAGAGCCTTATTTCTACACTATGCAGGGGAAGAGGTAAATGACTTCTTCGACGTACTGCAGAATACAGGGGATGACTACGAATCAGCAAAGATAAAGCTAACAGAGTACTTTGCCCCCAAGAAAAACACAGAATTTGAGATATATAAATTTAGACAGGCAAAACAGGAATCTAATGAAAACATTGATAGTTTTTTCACACACGTTTAAGACACTTAAGTATAAACTGTGAATTTTCGGAAACAGACAAAGAAATTAAGTCACAAATCATTCAAGGCTGCACCTCAACTCGACTGCGTCGCAAAGCACTAAGCGATGACCTGACATTAGACAGTCTCATCAAAGAAGCAAGGACACTAGAACTATCAGATCAACAAGCATCTGAAATTGAAGGTCAAGCAAAATATGACGTCGTTAATGCTATGAAATCACGACAAAGACAAAATCAAAAGGCGCAAAAAGAAAGACGCAGACACATCATTAAGGAATCAATTTGCAGATACTGTGGCTATGAATATCCACACAAATCAGGAAAATGCCCAGCCAGTGGAAAAACATGTACATATTGCTCAAAGAAAAATCATTTTGAAGCAGTGTGCTTGTCAAAGAAACGGGACAATAACTTCACATGCCAGCTTAATGACAGCTCACAAAGTGAAAGTGATAAGGACAAAGAAAGTGAAGATGAAAACGAAATATATGGACTATCTGTCAATTCTATGCAATTACAAAGACCAAGGCTGAAAGTGCATATCAACGGCTGTAAAATTAAAGCATTAATTGATACAGGATCATCAATAAATGTAATTGACGAAAACACGTACTCAAAGCTTCAAAATAAAGTTCATCTTAAGAGAGCACACACCAAAGTCTATGCATATGGTGCTAGTAAAGTTACCTTATTAGGCAAGTTCCAAGCACAAATTGAATCTAAAAACAAAATAACAACAGCTCCAGTATATGTGACAAAGGGCGCCAGCGGTAATCTTCTCTCTTATCAGACATCTGTTGACCTCAATATCATTCCAGAAATAAACACAGTCACAGACAGCAAGGTCGATGAACTCTGCAAAAAGTACCAAACCGTGTTCACAGGCATGGGGAAAATGAAAGCAACAAAAGTCAAACTATATGTGGATAAAAATGTTCAACCTGTTACGCAACCACATAGACGAATACCTTTCCACTTAAGAAAACAAGTTGAAAATGAGCTCCAGAGGCTTGAGGACCTAGATATCATTGAAAAAGTTGAGGGTCCCACAGACTGGGTATCACCCATTGTAGTAGCTCCAAAGCCAAAAACCAACCAAATAAGGATATGTGTCGACATGAGGCTACCGAATCAAGCCATAAAGCGCACAAGACATATTATTCCAACAATTGATGACATGATTGTGGACTTAAGTGGTGCCAAAGTTTTCTCTAAACTCGATTTAAATCATGGATATCACCAATTAGAACTGTCAGAGGAATCACGCAACATTACAACATTTACAACACATGTTGGATTAAGACGATATAAACGCCTCAGTTTCGGAATCAATAGTGCAGCAGAAATATTCCAAAATGCTTTAAGTACGGCTCTAGAAGGTCTGAACGGCGTGAGAAACATTTCCGATGATGTCATTATATGGGCTGGCGACCAAGCAGAACATGACAGAAGACTTGAGACAGTGTTAAAGCGACTTGAGCAGAAAAACTTAACTTTGAATAAAAGCAAATGTGAGTTTAATAAGCAAAAACTTGAATTCTTTGGGTACATTTTCAGTAAAGATGGAATGTCAGCAGACCCTAAGAAAATTGACACAATTAAAAAGACACAGCCTCCAAAAACAGTTTCAGAAGTCAGAAGTTTTCCTAGCAATGACAAATTACGTGTCAAGCTTTATCCCAAATTACAGCACTATAGCAGAGCCAATACGTCGTCTGATAAAGAAAAACGCAAAATGGGCATGGCAAAATGAACAAGACGAAGCATTCAACAAACTGAAATCTATTTTGAGTAGTGATACAGTCATGACATACTTTGATCCTAATAAGGAAACACAAATAATCACAGATGCATCTCCAGTCGGAGTAGCTTCAATTATGCTCCAAGAAGGTAAAGTTGTGTGTTATGCAAGCAGATCACTGACAGATGTTGAACGAAGCTCTTACAGTCAACAAGAGAAAGAAAACTTAGCATTAGTTTGGTCATTAGAACATTGGCACATATACTTATTTGGACATAAATTCACAGTCATAACTGATGCAAAATTTCTTGAGAATATCTACAATAATCCTAAATCAAAACTTGGATCTGCAAGACTGGAACGTTGGCGAATGCGTCTGTTATCATATGACTTCAGGATCGTGCACAAACCTGGAGGGTCAAACATGTCAGATTATCTAAGCAGACATCCAGACACAGGACAAGGCAGCAAATCAAGCATAGCTGAAGAATATGTAAGTTTTCTTGCATTATCATGATGTACCTGTTGCAATGAACATGAATGAAATTATTCAGGCAACTTCTACGGACAATGACCTCCAAATGACCATTAAATCAATAAAGACGGGTTGTTGGAGCAACACCAAATTTAAAAATACAGTATTTGATACGTTCTCCTCGCTGTTACGAATGAAATTCATCGGTGTAAAATCTCCAGGGGGGGTTTTGAACTTTACTGCAGAATCAAGAATTTTTAAATTCCCTGGGGGAAAATTTGAAAAGAAAAAAGCAATTATCATTAGCTCTTTGAAGGTCTTTCGGGGAATTTTTAAAAAACCCAAACAACTTTTTAAGAAAAGAAAGTGTATTTCCCCAGGCAGGGGACAACAAGTTAAAAATTATAGTGCAAAAGCTCCCAATTCCTTTGTTTAAAGCAGCAAAAAATTTTAAAAAACAGAAAATAAACCTTTTTAACCCCATGAGTAAATATCCCAAAATACCCTTTCAAACGTTTAAAGTTTGGTTTTTTTGGGGCCTTTTTCCAGAGGGAAAAATTTATCTGCTTTTTAAAAATTTGGGAGGGAATTTTTAAAACTTTTTCCCTTTTCGTAGAAGTTTTAAAAAATTCCCCATAACGGGAAAATTTCCCAGTGATCCCTGTCTGGGACAAAAAAATTCTCAAAAACCCGGGAAATTTTCCGGGAAATTTCTAAAAGTCAGACAACGGCAGCCCAAAAATGAATCCTCACCTTTTTTTAAAATTTTGAAAAAAACACAGGGGGTTTTCAAAATAGGAAAAAAACCCCATTATGGCCAAAAGGGGAAATGTTTGAATGTGAGCGTTTTTCATGAAAAATTTTTAGGAAATGAAAAATACGGGCTTCTCATGTGCACCATACAAACGGGAAAACAAGACATTTTATGCTTTTTTAAGGGAAATTATAGATCTACACCAACTTTGGGAAAACCCCGGACAAAAACCCCCTTCCCAAAATTTGTTCTACGGGAGGGCCTATTAAACATCAAAAATTCCCATGGTTCCAAAAACAAAAGAAATCTAAAAATGACATAAAGGCCAGAGAAAATGACAGAAAATCAAAACAAAAAATGAAAGAATACCGCTGAATAAACGAAGAAACGCCTCGGAAAACCTGAAGTTAAAATAGGCGCCGACAGTGTGTGTTAGTAAAGCAAACCAAACAAAACAAACTCACAACTCCATACGACCCTAAACCGTATGAAGTTTAACCAAGAAAAAAGGATGCAATTTGATAACGGCAGAGGAGAAGACAAAAACACATCACTAGAAATTCAATCACATTTTAAACGTGTCGGCAACTCTCAGACCAAAAGTCTAAATGGAAATTCTCCTTTAAATGTCGAGGGTGAACACAGCAGTACAGAACCAATTTACAACGAAACGAGCATAGAATCACTAAATCCGATGAGAAAGCACAATGTTTGAAACCTTACCTACATCAAATGAGTATACTTCTTTGCGAAGATCTGAAAGGCACAGAAAACCACCTGACTATTTAAAGGATTATATGTGTAAATAGTGTTAAATAGTGGCATAATAATCCACTAAAAAGTTAGCTAAATGAGTGAAAACCACCTGTATATATATGATATATATGACTATTTAGAAGAATAAATGTATAAACAGTGTTAAACAGTGGCATAATAATCCACTAAAAGTTAGCTTCAACTTAAAAGGAACATTCATTCAAACAAACGAGTTCGATTATTTTAACTGTCTGTGTGCACAAACATTCAAAACAGGGATTTAATATAACTGCTGATAATCATACAATTCTTTACTATGTGCTTAAATCTCCAGAGGAAAATGGAATACAGGTATAAATGAAACATTCAATTAGCATTTTGATACTTTAAACTATTTGTGTATCATTTAGATTCTATCTTCAATCTTTATTCTAATTTGTTTTTATTTCAAGCTGATAAAACCTGTTTGTATTGTGTAAACATTGAAAATTTACTCAACACAGTTTAGACATTAAGTTAATTTATTGGACTACGGACAGTCAGTAACTTTCTAGACTTATTGCCTCTAGAACATAAACTGAGATTAAATGTGATAGCAATCAAGAGACTATCATTACTGGATATAAAATAATCATTAACTTGTAGTGGCAGCGCCAGCGTGAAATAAACACCTGTGAATCAATGGATATCTGAGACAATAACATTACTGTCAGACAAATAATTAATGTCCTTCATTAGGACTGACCAGTGAACTTTAAACCTAAGCAAGGCCGAGATGTAGTGTTGTTAGTATTTAGAGATTAGCTCCGCCTACTTGATTAAATATGCACACTCTGAGAACTCTCTCTCTGAGCCCTCTTTGATAGACAGTTTAGATTACACATGCAATGTAGCAGCATCTCTGTGAATACTCTTGTGAATAAATCTTAGAATAGAATGTTTATATTGAGTTTTCAATACAGTACACCTAGGATTACCTTGTTTTTCAGATTTCACTTTTGTCAACTGCTTTTCTTTTTCTTCAAACATAATAACAGTTACAGACATGACTTCCTCAGCATCATCTACAAGAACACCACCCTCAAACAGTAACCAGACTATCATCATCTTGAAACAGGATACTCCGTTGGAACAGCATCAGCATTAAATGGAAAAATACCAGTACGACGAAATCCAGACAGAATATTGTCTGGAGTCAGAGCTTTGGTGTACACACGGCAAGCCAAATCACATATATTGTAATGTGATATAGCAGACAAAGTTTCACGAATAAGCTTGTGACACTGTACATTATAATCTGCTGAAAAGGGACCATAACATGCAACCTCTAATGGCTGTTAATATGTGACTACAGTGAGCCTGGGAAGAAATACACAAACATCGGAATAAGGGACTCCCTAGGGAATAAGGACCTTTTGAACGGTAAGTTTGGTTCCCGAATAACGGGACCATTCAAATCATAAACGGACTTTCACAATTTTAGACTGGGTCCAACGGAGCCGTTCACAATTCTGATGAAATCTCCCCACAATTCTGATTAATTAAGAACTTTAATAAAAGGTATTATTTCCTCTCTTCTCATAATGATGCTAAAATTTTTCCCTGTTGTGCTTTTTTTTAATCTAAAATGTGTTTAGCCCAACCATGATTTTCCGGTGCATTCGCCCCTTTAAATTTTTTTACTCGTGCCGCTTTAAATACGAAACTTTCTCGGGACGAAATCAATTACTTGAAACAAGCGTCTGGTAATTTCTGTAAACATCATTCAAAATGTCTAGTAACAGTAAATACTATGTTAAAAGAATTAGATGTTCTTACTGCTTAATAAGATATTAACAATCTTAATAAAAAACATCACAATTTGTTATGAAACAACACTTTTTTTTTCTTCACAATTTTTATGGTACCGGACCCATTCACAATTCAGGGAAAAAAATCGCTGAATTTATTCACATAATTGCTGGTTCTTACTTCTTATGTCTAATACTGTGCATTATCCATTTAATTATTGCTACTTTGCACTAAATATCCTTGTCACACTGTATGTTGACAAATTATATTGCTCTTTGTATGCCTCTGTGTAGACAGCATATATCAAAGACACTTGCCGAGAGACCTTTTGATGATGAAAAAAGTCAGGTACATTCCCCCCCCCCCATTGGTAAATCACCTTGTCTGTTTGTGTTACTATGAAAATGTTAACAATAGAGTTATGATGAAAACATGTTAAAAAATTAAGAAATAAAGTAGATCTAATCATTCCTAGTAATATATAATTATGGGTCGAGTTTACCCGTGCCAAGTCAGAATAGGGCCGAGCTGACTCGGGGGGGGGGGGGGGGGGGGGGGGTCGAGTATGTTTTAGGCCCAGCTGACCCTGTCGAATCAGTTTGGCTTAACGATGAAACTATGAAATTCACATGTAACAGGGTCATCTTTTCGTTCTTGAAACGTAATATGACTATATGAAAAGAACAATTTCGGCAGGAAACGTTTTTCCCTGGAACCTCATTTCAACTTCCTCCCCTAAACGGTATTCTTCGAACTCTCTCTGAGGTTTGACAACATTTGAGAACTTAATGACACTGTGGACGTATTCCATTCACCTGTTCTGGCTTACTGTTCTGTGTTCCGGAATGCTCTTCTCAAATGTACAAAAGGAATATTTCAGAACAAGCGTACTGTGCTAGAATTATGTTGATCAAAGGAATATTTCAGAACATGGACACTGTTCTAGAATTGTGTTCTGATTGGAGCAATTTCGGAACACTGCTCTAATCAGTATCAAAAATGGCTGTTGCAAGAGCTGCAGTCCTTTCTGTGCTAATGGAGGAGATGATTTTTTTGTGAAGAGGGGATGGAGATTGACACTGATGAGTCTGCAATGCTCATTCTAATTATGGCGGCAAAGTTGTAAGTTAAATATGATATTATAGATGATACATTTATTTGAGCAGCATTTAAAAACAATTTTAAATGCATGGTTCACAGTAGCCTTTGTGTAGAAGTATGTAAGTATACACTGTATATCATATGCATACATTTGCTGATTTTCTGTCATTCAAGGTAACTGATGATAGCATTAATGACACAGAAATATAATGGACTTTAGTGAATAAGTAGTTTACTTGGGATAAATCTTTAGTTTGTAAGTCATCCAATATGGCTACTTAATTATATGATGTATTTCAATTTATTTCAGTGTCCGCAGAGAGAGACAAAAAGTTGAAAGATATGTTGAGGGAACAATTCCAATGTACTACTTAGACGACTTTAAAAGATTTTTTAGAATGACTAGGACAACATTCGAAATCATTTGTTGAAAATCTTGGTGAGTTCCAAGAGCTGCTACCCAGTTGGACAGGAGGAAGAGACCATATAAATATAGAAAAACAAACTCTTAATTACACTGTGGGTATAT